TAAGCATTTCACTGATGATGAAGTTATGAGATGACAACTTCCTTGTGATAAAGGGGGTTTAAAATAGTCTCAAGTGATTTTGCTACTTCTTATCTAATTTCTAAAAGGGCAAAGGAAAAAAAATTGTTTCTTTAATCAGCAGGCAACAGCAGGCAGTAAAAAGCTGACTAATGGCATCTTAGAGCCTCATTCAAAGCGAATGAAACATTCATTAGACAGAAGGGGAAGAGTGGGACCTTGGTAACGAGGAACGAGGAACGAGTCTGACTGGGCAAAGGTGGGATCCGCCCCTGGAGCCGGGGAGGAAGGAAGAGATTACACAATGCAATCTTCCTGAGCTTCAGACAGAAGGACCAGGAAAAAGAGGGAAGAAGTGTTTTTTAAAAAGCAAACCTGGAGCAGAAGGCACTGCAGAGACGCTAAGGTGTGGGTGCAGGTGGCTCTGGCGGGCTCTGGGGGCACTCGGTCAAGCAGCAGGTGCGGGGCTGGGGGCAGCGGACCTGCAAATCCTCACAGGGTCAGACAGGCCTGATCATCCTCCAGGAAACTGGCCCTCGGAAAAGAGGAGAGCAGTTGCACAGCTGATAGCTTGGAAGTAAACCTAGGATAAGATGAAGTTAAATGAGACGAGGCCACATGGCATAAGGGAAAAAACACTGGCGTTAAATCAAAAGGCCTGGGTTGTGACTTAGTCCTTGTTCTGTCACTTGTCAGATTGTGTGACCCTGGGCAGACCACTTAACCTCTCTGAGCCTGTTCTCACATCCAAGGAACAGAACCAGCTGCCCTGCCTACCTTACAAAGATGTGGTGGGCTAGAGTAGTGAACGGAATGGCGTTTTAAGAGAGGTGTGTGCATATGAAGTATTGCATCCAGTGCTCATGGGAAGACCACACACTGGTGCTCAGGTACAGAATTCCTTCTCAAGTATTAGACTTGAGATATACGTACATACTTATGTATGTGTGTGAGCATATACTTATATGCTGAAGTTATACTTGTATACATAAAGTTACATAACATACGTATAACATGTAGCCACATGAGTTACCTATACTAATACACAGGCATATAAAATCATGTAGGTGATTTGTATCATCACATAAACAGCTGTTTTTCACATTTAATTTGATTTACTCTGGATATAGGCTGAAACAAACTTGGTCACCAGAAACACTCAGGGCATTTCAAGAGAAGCACAGGAAGACCCTGAATCTAAAGGTCCAGAGGCCACGTGAGAAGGTCAGCCTGCTGCCTTGATGAAACAGCTACAGCGTCCTTGGACATGGAACTGACCCTTGGACGCTCACAACTTAATTGAGGAAATGACAACTTACCCAGAAACAACCCGAGAGCAAAATAAGGCAGTAAAATCAGCCAGCCTGCGGCAGACTGTGAGTTCTACCTGGAACAGCTCTGGACTGTGCGGTGGGAGTAAAGACGGCAGCCTGAACCTCGGACAGCGGGATAACCGGGCCCTTTGCTGCCCGGTTATCAGGAGGCCGTGTCCTGTGTTATGCAAGGCAAAGCGTCATTTGGAGAGTCAGGGAGTCACAGCCCGCTTTGCCCACCCTCTCATTTTCTTTCCACCTTTTCTAGCATGATCAACATTTACTCAGGACCAACCACACGAGGAACTAGGGGCTGGAGTAAAAGAGCAACATGGTCCCTGGGGAATTAGGTATAAAAATAGGTAAGACAGAGACAGCTAAGCACCAAACAAGTAATATCGATACTGCTACCAAAGCAAGGTGAGGCAGTGGAGGCCCACGTGGGAAGGAAAACCTGCGTCTGGATGAAACGGCTAATAAGTGGAGGGCTACTAAGGCTGGCTGGGGAAGGTTTCTTGGATTAGATGGAGCTTGGCCAAACCTTGAAGGAAAATTAAGATTCAGAAAGCTGAGCATTAAAAGGGGTATTATAGACAAGAAGTGTGAATTGAGACAAGGTGTGCACCACAATGTGAATATAATTACACTACTCAACCATACACTTACAACAGTTAAGATGGTAAATTTTATGTGTATTTTACAATTAAATTTTTTCAATTTTTTAAATAACAGGTGTTTCCTAAAAAAAAAAAAAGAAAAAAAGTAAAGACAAGAAGATATGCCCAGCTGGTGTGGCTCAATGGATTGAATGTCATCCCATGGACCAAGAGGTGCCGAGTTCCATTCCCGCTCAGGGTACATGCCCGGGTTGCAGGCTCAATTCCCAGTAGGAAGCGTGCAGGAGGCAGCCGATTGATGTGTCTCCGTCATCGATGTTTCTCTCTCCCTCTCCCTTCCTCTCTGAAGTATTTTTTTTTTAAATAAAAATAAAAACAAGATATGAAAACAAGCTGCCATTGGTAGCAAGTAATAAGCTGACTGGTCTGATTTTGTAGTGGGTTTGTGAAGTGGCAATGGGAAATTCAGTAAAGTGGATGGAAACTAGATGGAAAAACCTTATGGCAGGCGGTATTTAACAAGCGGATGCTATACCTCTCTTTAGTGGTTTCTTACTATTTAGCAGAGCTAATGGCAGATTATGAGAACAGCTCAACAGAAAAGTTGGTGATACCTACTGTAGGAAGGGAACTAGCAGAGGGTGAGTGGAGAAGAGAACCCAGTAAAAGGGAGGAGGTAAGAAAGTTCAATAAATTAAAATGCCATGGAAGTCAAAGGGGGAAAGTCCAGTGTCAAGTACAAGAGCAGAATTAAGATAAGGAAATGTCTAAAAAAGATCTCTAGCCCGGTTAGTGTGGCTCAGAGGTTGAGCATTGACCTATGAACCAGAAGGTCATGGTTCGATTCCAGGTCAGGGCACATAACCAGGTTGTGGGCTCGGTCCCCAGTGGAGGGTGTGCAGGAGGCAGCCAATCAATGATTCTCTCTCATCATTGATGTTTCTCTCTCTCCCACTCCCTTCCTCTCTGAAATCAATATATATATTCTTAAAAAAAAAAAAAAAGATCTCTAGCCCTAACTGGTTTGGCTCAGTAGGTAGAGCGTCAGCCTGCGGACTGAAGGGTCCCAGGTTCGATTCCGGTCAAGGGCATGTACCTTGGTTGCTGGCACATGCCCAGTGGGGCGTGTGCAGGAGGCAGCTGCTTGATGTTTCTCTCTCATTGATGTTTCTAACTCTCTGTCCCTCTCCCTTCCTCTCTGTAAAAATTAATAAAATATATATTTTTTTAAAAAGATCTCTAAATGCTATGACCTTCAGATGCACAGTTTCTGTCAGTCTCTGTGGGATGATGAAATAAGGCGTCAGAGGTTAAGGATAAGGTGTCCAAATTGAAGAGCAAAGAGAAGTACTGTTGATAATTATGTCAGAACATCAGGCAGAAGCCAGGACACCCTGGGCAAACAGATCTAGTGAGTTACCTAGTTAAGGAGGAAGGCAGTAGTACAGCCAGGAAGGCAGCAGACAAAAGATAAACAGGATGTGAGTCAGAAGAACTAGTAGAGATAAGAGAAGGCTTTATCAGTTATTTATATGGGAGGCAAGGAGGACTTCTGGAGGTTTTACAGGAGAAGGGAAGGAGCAGATGGGAGTATCTTGCATCCTTCATCCCCCACATGGAGGGATGCAGGCATTTCTTGTGTGAATGTTCACTGTGGGGCTCTGGTCCTCCAAGAAGCAGGAAGGAACTGAATAGGCAGGAAGGGGGAGGGGCTTTTCTTCCTTTGAAACTATGTGGAAGGAGAAAATGTATAACATGAGAAGGCAGGCCAGAGCATTTTACTTCAACCTAGTGAACATCAGAGAGCAAGCTGCCAGCGAAGAATGCATTTCCACTTCTGAATCTGCCTCACTATGGCCTTTTCTTCATGGCAAAAACAGTAAGAAAGTGAAGTTAATTCTTGGGACTTCCTTAACACTAATCCCTATGTAGATGGTCAGAACTAGAACAGTAACGCAATATATCCGGAGTGCAACATAGAATGTCGTTCAGTGCTGAGCAGTTATTTGTAATTTCATTTCAGGTGCATCTAAGTTTAAACTGGTAAGAAAACAACAGTTGGTGTTGGGATAGAAAGATGTGGTCATACCAGGCGAGGCGGAGGGGACGCGCGGGGGAAGATGGAAGACCAGCAGACTGCGGGAGAGACGACTTTTTTTGAGGAAGTGAGCAACATTATAAAAGAGGCTGCAGCAAGTGCCATCGGTGGCAACGCCGAGCAGCACAGCGAAGTGAATTAGTGGACCACAAGTGCAGTAGAACAGACTTGAAGCCAACTCACCACGCTGGGAAAACCATTTTAATACATTGCAACCGTGTAACTACAGAAGGGAGCAGGATTCCACACACAAGTTCCTGCTTCTGGGACAGCTCTGCTGCCGGGAGCCGCACCGGGTGACGGCAGAACACGAACACGATGTGTGCTGCACCGCCAGTGCCCCTGGACTGCCCATCTGACCTCCTGGTCTGCCCGGCTCTTCCTCTTCTTGTCTCCACATTTCTCATCCATCTTCTAACCACCTGCTGTGAATTCAGTGAACACCTTCCCCACTCTTTGTTTTTGGTGGCAAACTGTAGAGGAAAAACCCAAACGACTGCACTGTTCTGATCAGCACACCCTCAGCCAGAGGAATCGTGCACCTGAGGTGGTCAGAGGCCTAGACTGCCACCTGTCTCCACTCTGAATAGCTCTAAAAACTCAAATCTGCCAGTGGGAAACTTTGCTACTCTCTGAAGTGATTCAAACACACGAATTTTCCATACTCGCTCAAATTCCAGGAAGAGGGTAAAAAATCAGAATGGGGTTCATCTAGACAATATTCTTAAATTACAACCAGGCAACTCATCCAAACACAGCAGCACCTCACACAAGGGGAAGAGCATAGAAATGGCTGGCCCTGCACCCACAGGGAGAAACTGTACAATCTGCCGACGCTGTAGGGCTGGTGAGTGGTCACTAGGGAACACTCAATAGCAGGAAATCATAAGGCATGAGTCACATCCTAAAACATGGAGCTCAGAGTATAAATTTAAATAACCAGATGGACAGACATTTATTATAAAAGTCAGTTTATTTTCCCTTCCTGTGTTTCATATTTTCCCTTTTTGTCAGTAATGAGCAATTAACTGATTGGAAATCTGCTTGATTAAATAACATTAAGTTCACAAACATACCACATTTCGGAGTATAAAGCAGGAGGCTGAAAAATATTCCCTAACCCAAAGCAAATTAGGCAGGCCTCAAAATTGCACATTCCCCCCCTAGTTTGCTTACATAATTTAGAATATTTATCCAGAATGGCCTTGACATATTGATAATCAGTCTAGAATTCACAGCCCTGAAGACCGATACTCCACAAACCTCTAAAGAATAGATATGTAAACCCCCCAGGCCCCAGTGGTCCCTTAGTGCGATTCCATGTCACACGCTACCGCTAACTAGGAAAAGGCCCCTCCTTCCTTCCTTTCTCTCTAATTCTAGGCTCCTGCTGAGGCTACTCCAGGCACCGGCTGGGACAGGGGTCAGTCCTCTGAAAACAGGCCTGAGCAGATTCACTTCCTTGTGGATCCGACAGCAAACCTGGGCTTGAGTACTTGTGGGTGACACGTTGGAATGTTCACAACTGATACACCTTATGGTCCTTGAAAGGGTGACTCCATACTGCCAGGAGCCAGAGTTAGTTTTGAATGAAGGTGGAGAACAAGTTGACAGCAATTTGGAGCTAGTCTGCTTCTGCATGTAGCATGATTTTTCCCACCGTGATTAACAAAGGCATTCTTGGTCCAAGGCAGGCTTATTCTGGATCCAGCTGGAGAACCTTCTCAGGATTTGATGCTTCGAAGATGAGCTACCCTCTGCAAACTCATTTCCAAAGCAAAATGCAACGAGCCTTTCTATTCACGGAGCCCGACTTTGATATAAACCATGCACGGCTGCTTGTGGTCACTCAGCTTCCCAGGCTGGAGAACAAAGGTCCAAGTCCAATGTAGCCTTTAAGGTTAAAGGGATAAACCTCAACAGGCCCAACAAAGACACTGGCAGATTCACAGGCCATTTGTACATTCATGAAACAACAATAAAACTCATCAGCGATCATTCCTGTAGTGTAGCAAAATAACCCACCTCGCTCTGGTCAGCATCGCAAGAGGCTGACATGTTGAAAGAGGCTTGGCCATCTGAGGTTATTTTGGAGCTCTTAAGACAACTCCAAAACGGGACAAATTAAAAGAAATTATAGTCCTAATGTGTCTCCTATTATTCTTGTTCTTCTGGGGCACCAGTCATCCACTCAGTATGCGAGCTTGTCGTCTTTGCATAAGAGAACGCATTTCCCTCACTATTAATGGCGAAATAAATACAATTGTACAACTTGTCTGTGAAGAGAAGAAAAGCATTAAATGTGCGGTAACAATTTAATTAATTCTGTTGGAGCATCATGTTTTGAACATAATGACTTTGAACAATTACATTCATTCTGACTTCATACAAAGATAAATCTAATCTTCAATGAATTAAAAAATAACTTTGAAAATTAGTTAATATTAAAAAATACTTAATGTTACATTATAGTCTCCAAATAAAAGAACTGAGGTACACAAATTAAATAATTTGTGACGGGTGGAACAGAAAATCCGATACTGGGGCTCAGATTTTAAAAAGTGTTTCTCGCCTGGCCTGGCCGAGCGCCAACCTATGAACCAAGAGGTCACAATTCAATTCCTGGTCAGGGCATATGCCTGGGTTGCAGGTTCGATCCCCAGCGTGGGGTGTGCAGGAGGCAACCGATCAATGATTCTCTCTCATCACTGATGTTTCTATCTCTCTCTCCCTCTCCCTTCCTCTCTGAAATCAATAAAAATATTTTTAAAATGTGTTTCTTATTATAGATCCAGTTTTGTTTTTTTTCTATTAGAAGTTCTAGTGTGATCATAGCAGCAAGTTCATCAGGAGACATTGCCCTCTACTTAGCATGGGTGTCGGAAGTGGACAGAGTCCCATGCCCCCGACTCCAGAAGCTAGAAGGCAGCTGGGCGGAAGGAAGCATCCTCTGTGACAGCAGAGAACATAAGCCTGCAGGCGGCACCAGGGAACTCCGATGCTGAACTGCTGCCCCGACTCCCTGGACAAGATGCAGTGTCTGGACTTGGGACGACTGAGGCTGCCTTCAATTAGGAAGCCCTAGATTTAGGGACAAACTGAATGCATCCCCTGGTGAACGAAGCTGTCATAGATGCTCTCAAACAGACCTGTCTGGAGCACTGTCTCACCAATAATGGACAGACTCCACCACATGCCTATTCAGAAAGCAGCATTTCAAAAGCACAAGGCCTTACTCTGTATTGGCTATTTCCCAGACAGGATAAAGTTCCAGCCAAGAAGGTCTAAGGCACAACAGGTATTTTCTCAAAGAACCTACACGACACAGTGTTAATCACAACTTCTTTTTTAACCCTATGTGGCTTGGTGCCCACCCACTGTAATTTCCTTCAGAATTCCCCAATTATATTCAGCAGACGCAGAGTACCCTGGAAGAGACCGATTAATGATTGGTGATACTTTTAGTAAGTCTCTTGTCATTTTTTCTGGTTTTATAAATGACAATACTCATTAGACTCGGGTCAAGGACAAACTAAGGGCCCTTTCCTTCCTTGAAAAAAGAATGTCTTTTAGACTGACAAAATCTTATTTTTTACAAAGGGTTTTTAAAAGCAATCAGTAATTTTTCTGGTTTAAGAAATGATTTAAGTAAATGCTTTGAAGTAAATCAGTAAGAAAACTTACTAGTTCAAAAAAAGGGGGGCACACACTTACCATGAGAATGAAAAAGTAGAACACCCACATCCATCCAAGGTTGTCCTGGATCAAAGACACTAAATACTAAAACGGAGAAAAAGAAATTATTGCGTAATCCTTCATGAATTAATAAAATCAAGTAGCTGTAAGCAGATTAAACATGGCTCTTCTAGAAAATAAGAAGGGAGTTAGGATTTGCATAGTGTTTTGCAGTTTACAAAGCCCTTTCACATACATGTTCCTATGTGAGCTGTATTAACGGCCTTCACTTTGTAAGCTGGCAGAGTCCAAAACTGCACAACAGAAGACATGAGTTCAGAAGGTTTCTCTATTCACTTTGCTATTGAGAGAGGAAGATGAACATCCTCAGGTCACTTCCGTTCTTTCTCCCAATGAAAGGTATTATAATTGGTGCTTTCAAAAATACTTTGTCTTTTAAGGGTATCACTCACTTTACAATTATGCTGTTTCCTTATAAGATTACTGTATCTTTAACATTTTACAACATATTCTTTTAATTTACTTTCAATTAATAAAAAGGATCTGATAGCATTTAACCCCTTTACTTTTTTTATTATGGTAAAATATGTAACATAAGATTTGCCATTTTAACCATTTTTTGGTGTACAACTCAGTGGCATCAAATACATTCACAATGTTGCATAACCATCACCACCATCTATATCCAAAATTTTTCAGCACCCAAACAGAACCTCTGCACCCATTAAGCAATAACTCCCCATCACCCCTTTTCCCCAGTCCCTGGTAACCTCTAATGTGCTTTCTGCCTCTGAATTTCCTATTCTGGATATTTCTAGTTAAGTGGAATCACACAGTATTTACCCTTTGTGTCCGGTTTATTTCACTTAGAATACTGCTTTGAAGATTCAACCATGTTGTACTACGTATCAGAACTTCATTCCTTTTCATGGCTGAGTAATATTCCATTATGTAGATACTAGAGGCCCGATGCATGAAATTTGTGCAAGGGGCTTGGCCCTCGCAGCCGCAGTGGCTTGCCTCAGCCCTCACAGCCGAGGCTTCGTCCAGAAGGTTGTCCAGTTGTTCAGCTGTCTGGTCTAATTAGCATATTATGCTTTTATTATTATAGATACCACATTTTGTTTCACCAGTCACCTATTGGTCAACACTTGAGTTGTTTCCACCTTTTGACTATTATAAATAGTGCTGCAATGAACGTTGGCATACGAATATCTGAAACCCTGTTTTCAATTCATTGAAATTCCACTCCTAGGGATATATACCTCAGAGTGGAATTGCTGGGCCATACGGTAATTCTAATGTTTAACTTACTTTAGAACCACCAGTTTTCTATAACAGCTTTAACATTTTACATTTTCACCAGCAATGTATGAAAACTCCAATTTCTCCATGGCTTCATCAATACTTGTTATTTTGTGTGTGTGTTTTTAAATTATACCTATCCTAACAGGTATGAAGTGGTATTACACTCTGGTTTTTATCTGCATTTCCCTAATGACTTAGAATGTTGCAGGAAGCAGGGAAAGTGAGTCAGAGCAGCTGCAGATCCCTGGCCACTTCTGGTGGGGACCCATGTAATGAGCACGTGTACATGTGTGTTTGGTAGGGTTTACACATCAGGTGGAGAATAATGAGAAGCATGTGTCTCATGGCCTCCTTGGAATGCCAAGTTCAGGCTAGAAAGCAGGGGGTAGCAGGCTGGGACTGAAGGATCTATCTGATGAGGTGTGAGCTTATTTCCAGAAAGGAAGAATCTAGAAGTAAAAGTGGAAAAAAGGAACTAAAAATGTAGAGGAACCTTCCATATGGACCTTAGAAAGGACTCAACCCCAGAAAGGGCTTCCAGTACAGCTGGCCCTCAGAGAGGCCTCAACCCCAGGCTCCCAGTACAACTGGCCCTTAGAACCAAACCTCCAGGTTCTCAAGCCCAGGCTCTCAGCACATCACACTACAGCACAAGAGTGCCACCTACTGTGGCCCAGCGGGCAGTTATAAATTCTTCCACTGGATGAAGGACTACTTAACACTCAATTTCAACCCCTCCCCTGCTCACTTACCTGGCCCACCGCAGCTCCAATGCTCCCAGTTCCGTCAACAATTCCTGTGACCGTCGCCAAAGCCTCACTGCTGCCTTGGATGAGCTCTTGGCGACCCAAGTCAGCAGAGATAGCAGAGCTAATCATATTAGAAGGTCCGCCAATAAAAAATCCTAGTCATACACAGAGAGGTTCTTATTAAAACACTATTCATAACCCCACTAGGAATCCAGTGAATAAGGCAAACACTTATCCCACAATTTTAGCCACTATGTCGGAGAGAAACAGAAAAAAAAGGGGAAAGTAACCAGTAAAAATGAAAACTCTCCCAGGTAGTACCATCTTCAAATTAATTACCATCCACTTTTCTGAAATCCCTTCTTGAATTACATGACACACTAGTATATTTTATAGAAACCAAACATATAGAAAATATAGTGAACACATAGTCTTTCTAATCCTGTGAAGTGTGCATTCATTAATAACTAGTTGCACTAGCTTGTCAAGTTATGTCATAGAGGTGGATCACAGGGCATCTGACTACCAAAGTCAACCAAACATAATGAAAAAAGGAGAGAGAAGAGAAAAAGCTATTTAAATGGTGCAGGTGGTTCTATCTGCACTGCTCTCAGGGAAGCCATCCAAGGACCGTGCAGGAGTTGGCCCGCGTGAATCCCTTAACACGCTGCAATCAGTTCCATGAGCCTCGGGGGGCATGAGCAGCTCTCACTATGCTGAGTACAATCTAAAGTTTAAAAATAAGGAATTTTTCTATAACATGGCCCCTATACACACTCAACTGTTTCATCTGGGGCTGAAGTGGAGAAATACTGACCAATTCCAACACAGGAGGAAAAACTAGCTCTACGGGGCTTTTTGAAAGCTGGTGAATTGGTTTCCAAGGTGGCAGCTTCCTGGGCCACTTCCAGAAGTGATGTGAGAAGCTGGGGCAGCGATCAAAACGGTTAGGACACCTCTGTCCAAAGGTGATTCTGTAACTAAGGACTGAGGAGGTCACATAACAGCAGAGAAACAGAATCTGCTGTGTCTGTCTTTCCTTTCACCAACTGAATTCTCTGTAATTAAGGTTTTAGTGTAACTCAAACTGAGGGAAACCGTTTCCTTTTTCCCTTTTTACTTATAGAGGAAATACAACAGTGAAATGGAGCCAGATGCCATACCTGTAACAGCCATCAGAAGTGCATTGATGGACTTGTTGTTTGGAGAACCTGTGAGGAAAGACATGCTGACTTTAAAAGCGCATCACGTGTGCCTCCACGCGACAGTCCACAAAGACCTGGGTCTCTGTGACCTCGCAGATCACACCCAGACACAACAAAGGGATACAACTCTTTCACGGCCTCTTCCAACTTTTATTTGTAATGTCTGTCTCTTGCTGGTGCTCAAGCTAATGAGACTTCTAAAAGCTACGGAAAGACCCTACTCCAATCTCAGCAGCATCTTAAGGGACATACACCAAACTCACTAATGACCATCTTTCCTCTTTTGAAACCTTTTCCCTTTTATTGTTTTATTGGCTCTAATGCTGTTCCTCTGGAGCCAACCCTCAAACAAAGCATATACCCTCCCAAGCAACCTTTTAAACAAACCAACAAAGCAGAAGAGATGCCAGTTTCCTTCCCGACACAAATAAAACTGTGATGATACTTCCACCAGGTAGTCACAGGACAATACAAAGGTCTCCCAGCATGCCTTTGTAGCTGGGCTCCAGGATCGCCCCCGGGCTGACCACTGACTCAAGGCAAATGCCTTAGTCCTAAGAGATAAAGAAATTTAATTGCAAGGGAATACTCACGACTGTATCCAACCAGGGACCCAATTGCCAGAAACAGACTCAGAGCTAAAACGGGTGCTCTCTTCTGTAACACATCAGAGATGAAGCCTTGCAGAGTTCCACCTTTAGGCACAAAGAGTGCATCATAATCAAAATCATTTATAATTTAGCTCGGTTACCTGAAACGTGCTCTTCAGGTACCCTCCACCCGCTATCCAGATCCTAACACTGGTCTATCCAGAAAGATGGCGGACTCTCCTAAGTTTCCTCCATAATTTCCTTTCAGGAAGATGACTCATGATGGCTGATGGGGACAGGGCACCACAAATCAGACACCAAAATAAGGAAAAAGGGAAAATCACCAAGGCCACCCACTGCCCCTTGTTTCTCTTCTCTAACCAGCTGTGAAGGTTTTTCAGATTTTTTTTGCTTTTTATTTAAAAGATGATTAAGGACCATGCCTCATAGGCTATTAGTAGCAGCCAATAAATATTCACTATAATTAAATGCAGAAATTATGGCTTAATAATAACTACCAGGTCCTGATGTTTAAAAAGAGGTGACATGTTGCCCTGGCCAGGTGGCTCAGTTGGTTGGAGCATCATCCCATATGTCAAAAGGTTTGCAGGTTCGATTCCTGATCAGGGCACATACCTATATTGCACATACAGAAGGCAACTAATCAATGTGCTACATCAATGTTTCTCTTTCTCTCCCCTCCTGCCCCCATCTCTCTCTCTCTTTTTCCACCCTTCCACTTTCCCTCCCTCTCTCCCTTCCTCTCTCTCTGGGATCAGTAAGTGTATCCTCTGGTGAGGATTAAAATAAATAAATAAAAATAAAAAGAGGCCCTAACCGGTTTGGCTCAGTGGATAGAGTGTCAGCCTGCGGACTGAAAGGTCCCAGGTTTGATTCCGGTTAAGGGCATGTACCTTGGTTGCAGGCACATCCCCAGTTTGGGGTGTGCAGGAGGCAGCTGATCGATGTTTCTCTCTCATCGATGTTTCTAACTCTCTATACCTCTCCCTTCCTCTCTGTAAAAAATCAATAAAATATATATTTTTTTAAAAAATCAATAAAATATATTAAAAAAATAAAAAATAAAAAGGTGATATGAACTCTTCAAGCAACACAGTTGCATTTAAATACAGTCCCATGTTAAGTTCTAGGCGCTACGGGACATCTGGTACATCTTCATCAGATAGTAAGACACAGAAGTATGGTCAGGTCTAAAGGTGGCAACCTCACCTTTGACTCTGGATCTAAGAAGAGGGCAAACAAGTTCAAATACAATGGTAGTATATCACCTAAGGCTACACCAGGTGCTTTCACGGGCTCAGGGTAGTTCGGTCTTACCATCATTCTAAATGTAAACATTACAGAAAGGATGTTAAGGCTTTGTCATAGCCATTTAAGTCACACCCACTAAAATGCATTCTGAACGCCTATCTTAAAGTTTCTTACTTCCCTGTTTATACTTCCAGCTATAATTAAAAGTCATTACTAAAATCTGTGTACAAAGCAGCTACAAAATATTCACAAATATCAATCCCTGCTATTATTCCCACCTCCATGATCTTATAATCTATACACTAACTAATGTGCATAGCTAAGAGCTAATATTTACCAAAAGTGTATGCAAGGGTTACATTAAAAGAGGTCACAGAGGGAAACATCCCAAGACAAAAGAACAGATCCATCAACAAAGGTCTGAGCGTAAGGGCCCCATAAATCACAGGCTGCCATAGGCTGGGTCTTTTATACAAACTTTTTTTTAAGAGTTTGGCTGTTTACTGGTAGGACAGTTTAGGGAAAATGGCTGTAGAATAAGTAATAAAACTTGAAATGATGTCAGACTTCATAACTACTATAGGAAAAGATGCATCACAGGCATTACCTATAATCCCTCCGACATCGTACCAAATGGACAGCTTGTCAGCTTCAGCCTCCTTCCACCCAAAGTTGTTGCTCAGGTAAAAGGGCAACCAGAAGAAGAAGGAGTAGTTCACTAACTTCAAGCAGGCATAGGCGAGTGAGTACTGCAAGAAACACATTCAACTATCAGTAAGGAACAAACTGCACAGCAGGGCCAGTTTCTAATGTCACTAAACAGCAAAACAAAATGGAGAAGTTTGGGACGGATAGCCTTACTGTAAAAGTAACCTTTTCTACAAACTCCTATTGGCCTGACTTTACCTAGTCTCCCTCTTCTCTTTATCCCCATTAACTTCTAGAAAGGCATTTACAACAGGCCTTGGGAATAGAAAACACAGATGACCATCTCCTAATCCTCCCTTTTTTTCTCCTTTCAGTTCTCTGGTAGAAGCAAACCAGTGTTTTGAACCTGTAAGGCAGGGCACATACTCATATTTCTTTATTTAGACAAAGATTAAAGGTATTCATGCCACCAACTAGCATTAACCATAGCAAATAAACCCAGTAAACCTCACAGCTTCTATTGCAAGCAACCAAACTATTTTGGTTCTTCTATTTCCTGCAAAGTTAATATTATGAACCATGGAGAATAACACGACTAAACTATAGTTCCAAGGTCTAAGAAAAGCATCAATATTTTCTACTTTCACATTATAGTTTCCAAAAGCTTTACATTCCCACATCTAGTGGAAAAGCAAAGAATATTTAAAAAAAAAAAAAAGAGTATCTTTAGTGAGTCAAAAAGAAAGGAGCATGATTGTCATGGGCCTTGTGGTTCTACTTTGAGGAATAAAAGGTGCCGCTGCCTTACGATGGCAGTGGCACTAAGACTCCTATATTCAACACATTATTACCAGGAAATCCTGACATTTAGCATCAAAGGAAAAAGGGGGAGGAACAGAGAGACTGACTTCAAAGGGTGTCTGGCTAGTATATTCTTTTCCCTGGAGCTGCCAGTTATTCCCTAGGTATCACTTGTTTAAAACAGCTTCCCTGGCCGGGCCACAGCCACCCCCTAGAGAGCCAAGTCCCAGTCATGAGTGCATTCTGTCCAGACAGCCTGTTACAGAGACAAAGGAATTAAGTTAACTAGATTTCCTTTACATCCCTATCCATGTCAGGAAAAAACAGCTTGGGAAATACAAAGGAATAGTGAAAGATTCCATATTTAATCACAACAAATTTTTAAGGTCTGTCTCAGAAATGACTCTATTACTAACTAGTAATCTATTTAATAACTAATTAAAAATACTGATCTTTAGCATAAGAACAGGACTAAAGGAACTTGCATGAACCTTATACATCATCTTTTTAAAAATCGTGAGAACTTACATCTTAACGTATACTTAACAATCCGTTTGCAAATGTCAGTTCTCTTACTGAGCTTGGGGTATAGGCAGAAGGGAACTGATGAGCATGAAATATGACAACCTGCAGACTCAGTCTAGCTCAGGGGCTACCACTGAGCAATTAAATAAGAGCCAGTGCGTGTTCACAATGCCATAACCCATTCTAGACCCAGGGAGGACTGGTGTGCTCCACAGGAAGGGGAACTGAGACACAAGGTTGGGCTGAGTGACTTACCCCAGGCCTCACAGACAGTTAGTGGGTAAGCTGGAAACATAACCTAGGCCTCTTAACTTCCACTCCCGTGCTAGAGCGCCCGAAACATCAAGACAGAAAAACTGCAGCAGAAGGGATTTAGTTTAGACGTTAGAAAATTCTCCTGGCTACAAAGGTTGTGGAAACACTGGAATGCATTACCAAGAAATACTGTGGAGTATTCTGCTCTGGGCCTTTTCATAAAAGGGCAAACAATTGTTTCTTCCTAGAATAAGAATATCAGCAAATAGGGCAGATTTAACGACCCATTCAAAACCCCTCTTGGTTGACATAATTTTCTAATACTGCAACAGGACATAAAGTATATATTTAAAAATACCAACTTTGCCTTCTTACTCAAATGCTAGGTCAGGGTCAGCAAGCTAGGGCTCAGGGCCAAATCTGGCATCCCCATTCATTCATTTCTTTTGCTCTGGAGTTAAGTAGTTGTAGCAGAGACTGTGCGGTCCCCACAAAGCTAAACACATTACTCTCTGGCTCTTCATAGAAAAGGTTTGCCGACCTCTGCTTAGATGTCAGAAAAAATTTCCAGTGTTGCTAATATAAAAATAAGTTGAGGGGCACTATCCACTATTCCTCTGAATGTATTTCTAAAATAAAGTATCCAAGAGAATCTAAATACTTAACGATGCTTTGTCCCAGGCAGAGGTCATCTCCAGCTATAATAGCTCACTGGTTGTGGCAAGGAGATTTGAACGATCCTTACCGGTATAACTCCAGGAAGGCAACAAGCCTGATAAAAGCTTATTGCCTTGACTTGGGTGATAGTGCTGCCTTCTTGGACTGAATAATTAGGCTCATATTCATCTTCATTTTCAGCACCATTAATTAATGGCTTGTGCGAGTCTTCTTCGACGTTTTCTTCTGCCTCAATACCTGGGAGACCTAAAACCACAGTAACAGCATCATTTACAGAGTGCCTTCTAGGTGCCTGGTGTTGTGCTAAGTGCTTTGCATGTATCATTACTTATGAAGTCAATATTATTTTATTTGCACTTCATAGAAGAAGCAACCAGGTTCACAGGCCAAGTTCAATTAAGGTCAATTAAGGTCAACATCACAACAAACCTGGGATTCTAATTTCACTTTATTTGGCTTCAAAGCAATGTGTTCTCAACTAAATCACTCTAGCTCTCTCATGTACAAAAAGGAGTCAATTACATACTATTAACCTGATGTACCTCTAATAATATTCAAAGGATAGAATCATACATGTATTTGCTTCTGTGGTTTCGCTTGTACAAATTCTGTATTTAACAAGAGATAAATATCACACTAAATTATTTTTATGAAAGAAATCTGTCTCAAGAAGTGAAATTAGAAATACATCTCAATTATAAAACTCATTTGCAAATGAGTTTTCCCTATATCTGTAACAGGTGAGCCTCACTCCCCTCAAACACGTGCAGCTACGGTGGGCTTAGCTGGACCCAAGACACAACAGCAATACTGCTCCTTTAACCCACTGCAAGGAGCTCACAGTTCTCCTAGGAGAAAAGAGACTAACTGTCCTGGCCTCAGACTTCTCTTCGCCCATAACAGTAACAGAAGCGACAGCTTGTCCTCACCAATTTCTTCAGGTGACACCAGGAGTCCAAAGAAGATGACGACCCCACCAGCAAACTGCACGGCCGCTGTCACCAGGAAGGCGTACTAGAGGGAAGAGGGCAGAGGGCAGATGCTCCTTATGCATCTGGGAGACTCATCAGAGACACGTGTGCAAGGTGGGAGGCGGGGGGTGAGGAACGGGGTGGGAAGGATGGGACACTGGGAAGAAAATGAGTGCTGAGTGCTTAGCCTGTGCCAGGCACTGAGCTATGTTTCACTTGTGTTTTCTCTTAGATTTTCCCAATGACACTCTGAGGCTCAGAGAGGATAATTAAGGTCCCCTGAACACTGAGTGGTACGACTGTGAAATCCGGACTAACTCCAAAAATCTTATTCTTTGCATTGCACAGCCTCCCAAAAGAGACATATCTGCCATTGATGATATTCTACCCAGTTAGGGGGATCAAACAATAAACACAACAATAACATAAGGCAGCATGTAGCTGAATAAATGAGGAAGCCAAATCCTACTAAAAAAACATGTACAAGAATTTAGAAGAAGGAACCCGCTTAAGAGGCTGAAGTAGCTGCACAATGCGTTAAGGAAAAGCTGAAGATCAAAGCAACTGACCATCTTTCTGGGCACAACCGAAGCAAAGGCAGAGGGTGGGAGTGAGATGGAAAGCCATCCTCACAGTCAAGGCAGAGGGCTTCTGCTGAAACGTAATAGGAATATAAAACTGATTTGGGCCCGGCCGGCATGGCTCAGTGGTTGAGCATTGACCTATGAACCAGGAGGTCACAGTTCGATTCCCAGTCAAGGCACATGCCCAGGCTATGGGCTCCATCCCCAGTGTGATCCTCGCTCATCACTGATGTTTCTATCTCTCTCTCCCACTTCCTTTCTCTCTGAAACCAATAAAAAATATTTTTTAAAAAAAAGAGCAACTTATCTACTTTTAATTATTTAGGTTTCTGAATAGGCAACACATTTACGTGATTTAAGCAACAAAAAGATGTAAAAACTCTCCCCACACCCCTTCTCCCGTCCACTCAATCCTCATTTTCCCAGCATATAACCATTATTACTGTATTTTTACTTTCCAGAGATTGCTTTAGAAACATACAAGCCAATACAAATATGTACTCTTGACTTCTTCCTCCATTTTACATAAATGGCGTCATTCAATACTCACTATTTAGCATCCCTGCTTTTTTCACTTAATAAACACCATTGAGATAGTTCCCTATCGTACAGAGAGAGCTTTGCAATCCTATTTCACAGCTGCACAGCACCCCACTGAACAGGTGTATCCCAAGGTAACCATTTCCCTTTTGGCTGACATTCGTTACCAACGTTCTGCTGTGGCACACACTGAAGTAAGTGACCCTGTAGCATATCACTGTGCCTGCCGAAGCATATTCACCTGCGGGGTTCATTCCTGGAGGCGGAGAGCCCCTCCACGGGCAGAACAGCTGCAGTTTTGAGAGACGGTCCCATACTGACCCCGAGAGGAGTTATTCACTTTGCCAACTGCAATGCCGGTTTTTCCACATCCTCATAAACACAACGTATTATCACACTTTTGGGTTTTTACCAATCTAATATTCAGTGCAGTTTCTTTAATTGCATTTCTCCGCGGACTACTACCTAGCTCCATAAAGGGCAAAGAGTTTTAGCCCCATGTGCATCTCTACTGCCTAGAGGCCCTTAGAGGAGCTTAATGAATATTAATGGAATAAAGTTATAAGGGAAGTGGAATTTCTTTTCATGTGTTTGTAAGGTGTTCCTAGTTCCTTTTTACCAACTAGACGTTCAAGTCCTTTGCCTTTTTTCCTGTGTTGTTGGTCTTTTTCTTATCAATCTGTGGGTGCTTGTTTATATTAGGAAGATCAGTTCTTTATCTTTAACGAGTTGCAAATACCTTTTCCTGATTATACGTCTTTAGATTTGGGTATTCTTCAGGAATAATGTTACTGTATGTTTCCATTTGTCAAGTTTTCTTTTTTTTCTTTTTATAATTTTTTAAAATATATTTTTCTCAGTTTCAGAGAGGAAGGGAGAGGGAGAAAGGGATAGAAACATCACTGATGAGAGAGAATCATTGATCAACTGCCTCCTGCACACCGACTACTGGGGATCGAGCCCACAAACTGGGCATGTGCCCTGACCCGGAATCAAACCATGACCTCCTGGTACATGTGGGTCAACATTCAACCACTGAGCCACTCTGGCTGCACAAGTTTGTTCACTTTTATCACAAGCCTTGTCTTACCCAGACACAGCTCAATGCGATTTTAAATGGCCACAGTATTATTTCCTAAAAAAACCAAAACATTTATTTGCTCGAGAAAATGCTAAGAAAGAAATACCTACCTCATAACCATACTGCAGAACAGAAGAGGCCAGGCACGCTCCCAAAATGTTGCCCACCGAAGCACAGGCACTCCAGAGACCAAAAACAACACCTCGGCTAAGATGGAGACAGCAGAACACAGAAGACAACAGAATAAGAAGGGATTTGATTCAAGGTTCAAATACAAAATTGCCAAAACAAAAAGGTTCACAACACAGAGAATTAACATTCTATTTTTAGATTTAAGTACACCCACATGACAAAACATCACGTCTCTTCCAACTCTATGACTATTATACTAAAGTTTAATTTGGGGCTCATCGAAAGAAACTATTCAGAGAATTTAAAAAGACAAGCCACAGACTAGAAGAGAAAATATTACATATCACATATCTGATAAGATTTGTATCTGACATATAAAGAACTCTCAAAATTCAATAATATGAAAACAGACAATGCAACAAAATGTTAAAGAGTATGAATCTTCAGTCATCTCAAAATAAAAATTTTTTTGAGAAGGGACAAAAGATTATAATAGATACTTCACATATAAAAAATATGATGTAAATAGCACATAAACAGATGCTCAACAGCCCTAGCTGGTTTGGCTCAGTGGATACGAGTGTAGACCTGCGAACTGAAGCGCCCCGGGTTGGATCCCAGTCAAGGGCACATGCCCAGGTTGCAGGCTCAATTTCCAGTAGGGGGCGTGCAGTAGGCACCGATCGATGATTCTCTCTCATCATTGATGTTTCTATCTCTCCCTCTCCGTTCCTCTCCCTGGTGGATATATATAAAGATGCTCAACATCACACATCAGGGAAACGCAAATTAAAACCACAATGAGGTATCACGATTCAGCTACAGAATAGCTAAAATAAAAAAGACTGAGCATACCAAGTGTTGGCAAAGATATACAGTAACTAGAACACTTTACACTCTGCTGATAGAAATGTAAAATGGTACAACCACATGGAAGAGACTACCAATTTCTTTAAAAGGTATAAAAATACCTATCATATGATCCGGCCAATCTATTCAAGGTATTTATCCAAGGGAAATGAAAGCATTTGTCCATACAAGAATTTGAAATGAAAGCATTTGTCCACAGTGGCTTTATTTATGACAGCCAAAAACTGAAAACACCCCAAATGTTCATCAGCACGTGGACAGATCACCAAACTGTGGTACAATGAATTATTATTCAGCTATGAAAAGGAATGGACTATCAACATATGCAACATGAGTGAATCTGAATCTCAAATTATCGTGAGTGAAAGAAGACAAACAAGAAAGAGTACATAGTGTGTGACTCCATTTATACACAAGTTTAGACAATCCTAATTAACCTAGAGTGACAGAAAGCAGATCAGTAGTTGCCTGGAGATGGCAGTGGGGATGTGTGTTGGGAGGAGAAATTGCCAAGGAGCACAAAGAAACTTTGGCCGGGGGGGGCGGGGGGGTGTCCAATATTTTAACTGTGATGATGGTTTTACGGGTGTATTCTTGCCAAAACTCATCAAATAATACATTTTAAACACATGCAACTTATTGTACAACTCAATGAAGCCATTTTAAAAGATGGATGGGGAGAGGAAGAGTCTGTGGAAGGGAAACTAGCTTTCACACACGACTTGGAGAAAAATGAATTAGCTCTGAACATAGCCACTGGCAGTGAGGCTGGTGAAAGAAAAAGGGATTAAAAAGTTAATTTTTGAAAAGTTCACATTTGTATTTTATCTATTTGATACATATTAATAACACACTGTGCTAGATTATCTAACTCCTTAAACATTTTTATTGTCTCATCGAGACAGAAGGAATCTTAGAAATGAACAGGGAAGCCACACTGAAAAATAAAGGCTGTTCACAAGTATGGGCTGCTACCTCCAGCTGTTAATTTCAAGTAAGTTACAGCGAAGGCTCAGTGTTCTCAAGTGGGAGAGCCTGTGACAGCTCTGCAAGGACTGAGTGCAGTGATGTACAGGACAGGGCTCGGTGCTGCACACAAATGTGTGTGACTAACTCTGAGCCTGACAACCAGAAGGGGCCTGACTCTTCCAAGGTAACAGCTTTGTGGGCAACGGCCTCAATAGATCACTGCATTCCGCTGAGCCCCAACTTTTTTCACTTGGAAACAAATGACTTGAACCAGATGATCTCTATGCTCCTCCCCCGTGCTAAAATGCCCAATCCTCTTAAATATTAAGATCTGTCAAGAGTGTTCTGGAGGAAAGAGTCAGAAGGCCAGACTGAACCTGCTGGCCGAAGACATGCGTTTACAAAAAGCTGGCTGAAAATAACTGTGACTTTAAGTTGTCATAGTCTTAGCACTTCGTGGTTTCTTGTTATGTTTCATAGGAAAAGTCACTGTGTCCCAAGCAGTGCATTGTCAACTTCACTCACTAATGTTACTTGTTTAAAAACAAATGTTCTTACTTTCTAACAGAAACTGTGACGACTTTCTTGAATTTTTGTTTCTTTGTAACTGATCCAAAGAAATAAAGAAATGATCAGCCTGCCCAGTCACTGCTATCAAACTGATACATGTAAAAGTAATTATCTTTAGTTGATAGGATTTCAGGTGGTTTTGTCTTTATTTCTCTTTGCTCGTTTATATTATCCAGTCTGTCTACAATAAACAAGTAGCATCTGTATAATTTTCAAAAATCGTAAATGGGAAAAAATTACCTTAAAAGTCTTAATAACAATAAATAGCACATGAGCAGACAGCATCATCCACTCCAAAAGAAAACGAAAGTATTATAGGGGGAACAAGAGCCTCCAAAATCAATTCTGTTAAACCAGTGATGCTAGAGTTAGAAATAGAACTACTAGCACACTGAAATATCATCAGAGCATTCTCATTAAGTGGTGCTTATTCTGATCACAGACATTTTATAGGTGAACTTTCACAACGTTACAGCCAGCAAGCATCCCCCATTGTGAAACCGGGGAAGCTGGAAACCGAGAGGCTAGGTCAGGCATGCGCGGATCACTGAGCTGGTGGACAATGTCTGGTGCACAACTGGCCCCGACGTAAAAGTGTAAACAAACAGAAAAGATAGAGCCATCGATAAGATAAATGTGTATCTCACAACACAAATATTTATCTATAAAAATTATAGGAATTCAAATTAATAATATTCCTGAAATTGGAGTGTCACATATAATGGCATACAACAAAGCCAAGTCTCCGGGTGTCTGAACTTATCTCCATCCTGTAAATTAAGCGTGGCTCTTCTTCCTGGTGGCCTAGAAGATACTTTAGCGGGTGCCTATTCTCACATCCTTGGCCCACACCACACACACAAACTCAAATACAATCTAATAATTAAAGGTGTAGGGGAAAATGTCCCAGTTTGGCATTCTCCACTGCATCTTATTAGAGCCTTTGCTACGTGACTTTAGGCAAGTCCCATGGATCTCTTTGGCCTCGGTTTCCTTATATTTGATGGAAGAAGGCTAAAGAAGATCACTAAGTCTCGAAAAAGGGAAAGGAAGGCAAAATCCACAGGAAGATCCTGATGGGACTGCACCTGAGATAGTTATGCTCTCTCAAGGGAAGATTAAAGAAAAAACAGAGACACTCAAAATCTGACTATGGCCAGAGAGTGTTGTGGACGTGATGGGCAGGGTGGATCACTAAGGTCGACACTATTTCCAATACACTTTGACATGAAACCTCTCCCTGAACGATTCTAACTTTCTAAATGAAGGGAGAACATGGGTAGTGTTGAAGGGACCGAGTTAATTGACAAGTCTGAATAATCCGGTATTAAAACCACTTAAAAAGAAAAATTAAAGAGGAAGGAGGCGGCATACCCAGCTTTCCCAAACCAGTTGCCCATGACAGCAACCACACAGGGCCACCCAGTGGACTGCAGCAGGCCATTCACAATCCACAGGCAGCAGTACAGCCACTTGTTGTAGAAATGCAGCCATTCTGTGACAGTGCCAAAGATAAACACCTTGGGGAAGAGGGAAGAAAGAGGGACATGTAACATCCATGTGGACACCTGGAGTACACTCAACTGCCAAGCACACTGTGTTTCTGCGTGAAGAGGCTAAGGAAGGGGACATTCAATGTCTCGACCTAGAGACATGTGGCCGACTCTTGGGATGCTCCTGCTCAAAGCAGCACTGAGTGCGTGAGACAACCACCAAACCACTGCCAACCAAAGAGGCAAAGAAGGCAAACGGCATAAAACTCATAAGTGATCATCCCTCCAACTGGTATCTTCAACTCTAAAAAGTTAAGTCCTCATTGTCTGACCTCCTTTTATATGTAGATCACTGTGTTTCAAAAAAGGGAAAGGAAGGCAAAACCCACAGCAGGAAACCTGATGGGAGGGCACAGGAGAGTGGACCTTAAACAACATGGAGGCCAGGGCTGCTGACCCCCAAGCAGTCACAGTCCATGTTTAACTTTTCACTCCCCCAAAACTTAACTTCTAATAGCCTACTGTTACCAATATATTGAACAGTTGACTAATACATTTTTTGTGTGTTTATGTATTATAGGCTGTATTCTTACAATAAATAAGCTAAAGAAAAGAAAATGGTATTAAGAAAATCATACGGAGAGCCTGCAGGCGTGGCTTGGTGGTTGAGCATCAACCTATGAACCAGGAGGTCACGGTTCAATTCCCGGTTGGGGCACATGCCCAAGTTGCAGGCTCAATTCCCAGTGTGGGGCGTGCTGGAGGCAGCCGATCAATGATTCTCTCTTATCATTGATGTTTCTATCTCTCTCTTCTTCTCCCTTCCTCTCTGAATATATAAAAATACATAAAAACATATTTGGGAAAAAAAGAAAATCGCAAGGAGAGAAAATACATTTACAGTATCTATTGAAAAAAATTCCCATACAAGTGGACCCACGCAGTTCAAACCCATGTTGTTTGAGGGTCACCTGCGTTTCCGTTTCCTCTTCCTCAGGCCTGTGTTTGTGCAAGACTGTCGTGGGGACTGGGAAGCACCAGCTGTCTCTACTAGTGTCGCTACTAAGTGAATCTGATAACTCTTGATAGGCTCAGTCATTTAGTAGCATTCATGTCTCTGCTTTTCTTCCCAGGCATTTTGCTCAAGTGGACATGTTATTTGCGGTTGAAATCTCTTTTGGGAATACCTGGCATGGGTACATAGAATACTGTGTGATGCCAGTTACATGGCATTCTGAAATAAGCAAAACTCTAAGGACAGGAAAATGGTCAGTGATGGTCAGAGACCAGGGGAAGGAGGAGAGATGGCAGTTACACACTATACTCGCTGGTCAAAATTCAGGACAATACACTAAAAAGGGTGAGTTTAAGTACACACTTCAATTTTTTTTTTTTTTAAAGTTTGTTTACATATGTTTTAAAACAGGTTTTGAAATAGTATGTACATATGTGTGGTGAGCAGCTTGTGAATAAATAAAATGGTTCAATCTCTAAAATTTCTAAGGAAAATACATTTTTCCCTGTACACAAATGGCAGACAGTGAAAAACAATAATAAAATAGAGTCTAACTAAACTCCATGCCTTTATTCAATCAACAAAAATTTCTCACCAGACCCTCGTAAGCAAATCAAGATGACTCACAGGGATCTTGCCCATGTACTGCACCAGGCACTGTTCCAAATGCCTTACACACAGCAACTCATCTAACCCTCACTGCGGCCCCAGGCAGAGGGATTCAAGCGAGGAAGCTGAAGCCCACAGAAATCACAGCTAGGAAATTGCAGGGGAGGGACTGAAAAGAGGCAGTGCCCTCTCAGGAAGTCTGTGATCTAACCACTGGGATCCACCCTCTCAGGAAAGCAGGACTGACACAGACCAAGTAGGCTACGCAATAGACAACATTCATGCCTTCAAAGAAAGAAATGCAGGCAGGGAGCTCCAAAGAGGAACGGTGACTTCTGGGAGGACGGGGGGGTGGCGGGAGGGGGGGGGCTAGTAAAGTAAGGCATTATGAAGGAAGTATCACTTAGCCAGGGACTTGCAGGAGACGTTGAGTGAGACTGGAGAGCTGAACAGAGGGCCATCCGGGCAGGGCAGAACAGCAGGAACAACAGGAGTGAGGCAGAAAGCAGCCGGACATGTCAGGGCCACGGAGAGTAGTCTGACCAAGCAGAGCAGTGAAGCACAGTGACAGATGCGACTGCAGGCGGCTGGGACCAGGCTCTGGGCAGCACTGAACGGCATGCCATTTATGCACTGACTTTGGTAGATGAGAGTCAAGGAAGGGGCATGACCCAAATCATACTTATAACAGACTCCCCAAACTGAAAAGGCAGGCAAGGGATTCAACAACTGAAGATTAATTTATTCTCTTCTACATACAGAAGTAGGGGGATTGCTTGGATCCTAAAAACCTGACAATCATCATCATCATCATTTTTAAAAAACATTCAAACTTACCACTAATGCAGAAGAGCACATGCCAAAAGATAGAACGTATCGTAAATTAAGCCGATCCCCAACAATACCGCTGATGAAAAGGCCCTAAAAAAACAAAGCATTTTATTTTTCAGTCTTGAATTACAACACAGCCTGAAAAAAAGAGGCACTGCAAAGGAAATGAGGCAAGTAATACACTGAGATTACTTCACATTAAATCTCATTCTCATGCCCAGGCGAGCTGTCTATAACAGTTTCACAAATGTTTCATGAAATGACACGGCTTCTGCACACCCTGGGACATTGCAATTCAGTGCAAAACTTAGGTTCTACTTGATCCCATCCCCTAACTGCCTAAAAGGAGAGTGGGAAAAACAAACAAAGATTCTTCCAATAACACAAGCAGACAATTCCATCTCCTTTTCCAGGAGAGAGTAACTCCTAACCATCCGTTATCTGCTTTCCCAAAGGCATTCCTCTTGGCCATTTGCATTCTGAATGAAGATCTGGAGCACAGGTGCTGCCTCTTTAATCTGACCCTTGGGTTTCATGACACCACAAGGCAAGGAGCTAGGGAGGCAGAGGCAATAATTAGCTGATCAGAGGTACAAATGTTCTGCCTTCTGCTCTCCTGCCACAGAGTAGCAGAAATTAAAATGCTCAGATCATAGCAGCAAGCAGACTAAAGAGCTAAGGGCAACACACTTTAGGTTTCTTCCATAAATATGTAAAAATGAATAAAAGTCCCTACTAAAAACCTAGATTTTGATACAAGTATTTCTGATAAATTGACAATCTGTATTAGAGAAAATGTAGATGACAAAGATCATAATAAATGTTTCTCCCTCATTATGGACAAGCTTTCACTAACTTGAAAGAGGCACCTGCAAACACTGGAGAATTCTATGTTCTATAGCTGCCACTCATCCATGGTCTTATGCTACAGAGAATAATGAGGATGAAGAAAATTTCTGTTATGTTTCAGATTAGAGAATCAATTTATTCTGTGCTGCTCCAACTGCCTGCACAATACCTGGAAGTTATAGAAGAAAACACAGCTCAATAGAAGAACCACAATCACCAATTTTCCATGGCACTTACCTTTTACCTCCGAAATCTATTTTATCCTATAGATAAGTACTATCACAACCCTATAGACGAGGAAACTACATATCAAAAAAAGGTTAACCCTGGCCGGGTGGCTCAGTTACTTGGAACATCATCCCATATACCGAAAGGTTACAAGTTCAATTCCCGGTCAGGATGTGTACAGGAGGCAACCGATTGATATTTCTCTCTAAAATCGATGTTTCTCTCACTCTCGCTCTCCCTCTTCCCTTCTCTCTCTAAAATCAATAAACAAACATATCCTCAGTGAGGATTTTAAAAAAGGTTAAACGCCAGTGTGAAGCCAAGTTTAACACAGCTAGTTGATAGTGGTAGAACTGGTTTTTCCACTAGACTCCATTGATTCTTAAAGTACTTCATAAAAGGCCTTGGCCGATGTGGGTGTGGTTGGGTGTCGTCTTGTGCACTCAGGATTACTGGTTCCCTGAGAGGTTGGTGCACATGCCTGGGGTGGCGGACCTCGATTCCGGTCAAGGGCACATGTCCAGGATGCAGCTGATCGACAGATGTTTTGCTCTCACATCGATGCTTCTCTCTCTCTCCCTCTCCTTTCCTTTCTCTCTAAAAATCAATTTTAAAATCTTTAATTAAAAAACACTTCATAAAAAAAAAAAAAAAAAAAAACACTTCATAAAAGGCTCATAGAGAAGCCTCACTCGGAATGACCATATATGCCCAGGGTGAGGAGCTAGGCTACATGATCTAATTTCTGTTCCAATTTTCTAACTGTCCTCTTTGAAGGTATTCTAATAATTACCCAAATAAACCTTTAGAGATTACTTTGGGACTTTCACCCAGTATTTCACATCACTGGACAATTTTCAAGACAGGAAAAAAGATGCTGGGGAAAAAGGTCAGACTGCTCCCACAGTGCCCAGTGCCAGCCGTTGCCACCCCTGGCCCCACAGCTCTAACTTGGCAGCCACCACTGACATTCCCTACGACCAGACCCCCTGGCTGCCCAATCCGAGGACGACCTCAGACAGAGTCAGCCCCTGCCACCCAGTCCTGGATGGCTCCCAGGACTCCACCCTCTCTCGGTACTCTTGCTCCCCACAGCTCCATCTCAGCCTCCCTGCCTGTTCCTCATCTTCCCTACCTCACTTCTGGGGTGGGGAACCTTCTTTCTGTAAGGACATTTACAACATTATTCAGGGGCCATAAATTATCAACTTAAAAATTAGCCTGCTAGCCCTGGTGGGTTTGGCTCAGTGGACAGAGCACCAGCCTGGGGACTGAATGGTCTGGGGTTCGATTCTGGTCAAGGGCACATTGCCCAGGTTGCGGGCTCGTTCCCCAGTGTGGGACACGCAGGAGGCAGCCGATCAATGATTCTCTCTCATCATTAATGTTTCTCTCTCTCCCTCTGCCTTCCTCTCTGAAATCAATAAAAATGTATTTTTTTAAAAATATTGTCAGAATTTTTTTTTAATTAGCCCGCTATATTTGGTCAAACATTTAATTAACTCACCCCTAATGCCTTGGCAAGGCTTATATGGCCCAAGATCTGGACGTTCCCCACCCCTGTTCTAAATGCTGGAAACCCATGGCTCAGTCTTCACACTTCTTCTCTATCTTCACCAACTCTCTCTCTCTCTTTTTTTTTTTTTTAAGATTTTTTAAATTGATTTTGAGAGAGAGAAGGGAAGGGAGGGAGAGAAACATCAATCAGCTGCCTCCTGCACACCCCCTACTAGAAACTGAGCCCACAACCCTGGGCATGTGCCCTGACCAGGAATTGAACCGGCAACCTTCAGTGCATGGGACGATGCCCAACAGCTGAGCCACACAGGCCAGGGTCTCACCAATTCTCTTGATGATTTCACTCAGTCTCATAATTTTAAAAATCATGTACAGGCAAAGGAGTCTGAAATGTGTGCCTCCAGCCTACATGTCTGACCTCATTTACCCACTTCAGGTCTCTGTTCAAAGAACCCCTTCTTTGTGAGGTTTTCCCCAGCCACCCTACTCAAATTACACCCCCACCGTGAGCTATCTATTCCCCTTTCCATGCTTTATTTTCCTCCACAGCACTTACCACCTTTAAATATACTTTATAATTTACTTATTTGTAGCATTTTGTGACTGTTTGTCTCTCTTAGCTCCCACTCCAAGATAGAAGCTTTATAAAGGTAGGGTTTTTCCTATGTTGTCCGCTGATGAATTCTCATTGACTGGAACAGTCCCTGGCACATGCTATGTGCTCAATTTGTCAATGAATGGATGGATGAGAAGGACACAAAATATAAACTTCTGAACACTCCTCAGTCAGTAAATTCAAAATGTCTTATGAACTTCATAAAACTTGGAGCCATTTCCTTTTACATCTTTCTTTAAAACCCTGGAATTCTAAAACTTACCACGGCATAGGAGAAGAGAAAAATAGTATCCAGTGTTCCGAGGAAAAGAGTGGCTTCCTCCGCACTGGGGAACAAATGGTTGCTGCTCCAGATCTACAGGAACACACAAGAGCAGGTCAGTCCCACTGGTATCTGCCAGTCCTTTATATTCCTCCAGGCACCTTCACGTACAACCTCCCCCACTCTCAGAGACTGGTGATGCCGAAAAGAGCACTCAAAGCCCAACTATTTCCATAATACAGTAGCCTGCCCCCCTTACCCTCAGTCAAAACTATTCATTTAATACAGGAGGCCCCCTTATCCAAGATTTTGCTTTCCACAGTTTCAGTTACCTAAGATCAACTGAGCTCCAAAATATTTCAGTATATTGGGGGGGGGGGGGGGGGGGAAGTATGCACATTCAAGAGAGTGGAAGGAAGGGAAAGAAAAAGAGAGACTACATTCACATAACTTTTATTACAATACTAGAGGCCCAGTGCACAAAATTCGTGCACAGGTGCAGTTCCTAGGCCTGGCCAGTGATCAAAGCTCAAGCGTCTGACGTGGAAGGACAGGTCCCAGCTGACCTCTAGGCCCTGGGCAGCACCTGGGCCCCTGGGCCCCCACACGCCCCCCCTCCGCTTGAGTCACGGCGCCCAAGTCCCCACCCAGAGATGCGGTAAGCACAGCCGGACGCCGAGGGCCAGGGCGCAGTGTGGGCCTCTGGGCCACCAAGCGGCACTGCACAGAAATTGGCAGGCAGCACGCTTCTCCTGGCCGGCCTCACAGGCTGACTCCTGCTCGAACTCACGGGGAGCCCGACTGGCCCCTGCAGTCCCAGCAGCTGTGGCCCGGCTCACCCAAAAGAGGCCATGCAGGTGCGGGGCAGGCTCTTCGCGGGCACCCAGTACTTGAGTACGGGGGCTTTCCCGGCACGTGAGCCCTGGCATCCCAGGGGAGGTTAGCAGGGGGAGTGAGAGTGAGCTCGGCGGACACCCCACATTCTCACTGCAGCTCCGTCCCCATCACCCCTGCCCCCAGGTAGCCGGTGAGAGGTCACAGCCCCCTGCCCAGGCGCCATATCGCTGACACCCGCCATGTTCCACACCGGCCCCGGTAGTCAGCGCACGTCATAGCGAGTGGTCAAACTCCCGGTCTTCCGGTCGAACGACTGCCTGAAGGGGCAATTTGCATATTAGGGTTTTATTATATAAGGTATTGTTATAATTGTTCTATTTTATAATTAGTTGTTGTTGTTAATCTGTTATTGTGCCTAATTTATAATTAATCTTTATTAGAGGTATGTATATATAGGAAAAAGGATAGAACATACAGGATTTGGTACTATCCAGAGTTTCAGGCATCTTCTGGGGTCTTAGAATGTATCCCCTAAGGATACGGGAAGACTATCTATATATACAAAAGCCTAAGCGACCACTCGACTGGTAGCTATGACATGCACTGACCACCAGGGGCAGACGCTCAACGCACAGGCATGGAAACATGGAATAGACTGATGAATCTGAGAGGGAAGGAGTGGGGGGAGGGTGGGAAGAGATCAACCAAAGATCTTATATGTATACTAGAAGCCCGGTGCACAGATTCACACACTGGTGGAGTCCCTCGGCCTGACCTGCGGGGATCTGAACAAAACCGGCAGTACAACATCCCCTGAGGGATCCCGGATTGCGAGAGGGCTCAGTCCAGGCTGAGGGACCCCACCGGTGCACGAATCCATGCACCGGGCCTTTAGTCCTACTGTAGTAATTTTCTTTTTCCCCTTTAACTTTAACATTGATGAAGCAAAAGCTGTGGTGGGTAAAACTGCTGTGCTTTGGCATGAATCGAGCAGTTACACCAAACTGTGCTATATTAATTACTATATTCTTTATTGCCACACTGACAGTAAAGAAAAAAAAGGTCAATTTCACTTGAGAATGTTCTTAATGAAGTAGTAAAAATTATTAATTGTATTAAATCTGGCCCCTGAGTATACTTACTTTTACTATTCTGTGTGATGAGGTGGAAAATACACATACAGACTCTGCATACCAGAGTCAGATGGCTGTCCTGGAGGAAAGCACTGTGCAACTGTGTGAGCGGCAAGCTGGTAAGTCATTTTTACTTGAAAGAATGACTGACAGATATAGGGCCCAGTTTTGAGTATTTGAGTACTGTATTTGGCAGATTTGAGTATCTGGCAGATATTTCCTCAAAAAAGAATGAAACAAGCCTGTCACTTCAAGATTCATTTAAAGTACAAGACAGACAAATGGATGTTAATGTAAGGTTATAAAAAGTTAATTAATACAGTTTCGGATTCCACATTGCAACTACCCTTCAAGAAATTGCTACTTGTCAAATTCTGGTGTAATATCAGACAAATACCCACAATTAGCTGAAAAGGCTGTTAAAATACTTCCCCCCTTTCCACCATGTATCTGTGGAAGACAAACTCTTCAGAGACTTGAAATTCAGAAGTAGACATGAAGACCCATTGTATTCTATTCAGCCAGACAGGAAGAGATTTGCAAGAATGTGTCTATCAATGCCATTCTCCTCACTAAGTGATTTTTTTTGTCTTGAAAAAGTCATTTTTCATAAAATGTCATTCATGTTGCCCAGCCAGCATGGCTCAGTGGCTGAGCATCGACCTATGAACCAAGAGGTCACAATTCAATTCCTGGTCAGGGCACATGCCCACCCGGGCTGCAGGATCAGTCCCCAGTCAGGGGTGTGCAGGAGGCAGCCAATCAATGACTCTCTCATCATTGATATTTCTATCTCTCTCTCCTTCTCCATTCCTCTCTGAAATCAATAAAAATATATATTTTTTAAATGTCATTCATGTTAACATGTTGTAGGTTAATTCACTTGAAAATAACTTAATCGTGTATTTTTTAATTTGTTTTAATTTCTAAAACAGTATATGTGTGTGTGTGTATATATATATATGTGTATATATATACACATATATATATACACACACACACACATATATATATATATATATATAGAAATCCACATAACCAAAAAGTTCAAGAACTGCTGGACTAAATGATTTCTGAGATGGGTTATTAAAGAAGGAAAAAAATTTTTTTAATCCTCACCCAAGGATATGTTTACTGATTTTAGAGAGGGGAAGGAGGTAAGGGGGAAGGAGAGAGGGAGGGAGGGAGGGAAAAAGAGAGAGATAGAGAAACACCAACCGGTTGCCTCTATTACATGCCCTGACCAGTGATCAAACTTGAAACCCACAACCTTTTGGTGTACAGGAGGATGCTCCAACCCACTGAGCCACAATGGCCAGGGCAAGAAGAGAAATTCTGACTTAGAATAGTAAAAAGAAAAATCACAATGAACAACTAAAAAACATGTATCTTCAACAGGAAGTAAAATCTGAAATTATTAGAAAATATGTAAAGTGTGATTCTAAAGTACTGGGACTCGTTTCTGGGTGGCTTATGGCACCGGTCTTTTACTTTAACAACAGGCACTGCTTTCATGATCGATAAGAAACCAGCTCACACCTAGATCAATCAGTATTTCAGCGTGCCAATTGGGGCCCTAAATACCTCCAATTAGTTATTTTGCCACATTTCCCCTCTAACCACAATCTTTGATCCCTGATGTCATCTGGGCTCAATAGGACCCAGGATTAAGCCCTCTTGGGCACACACCCAGGTGACCTAGAGACCCAGGCCTCAAGGAGCTGCTGCAAGTTTCAGGATTTTCTTTACTCTTGGGGGAAGCCACCGAACTCCCGAGCACATGGTTTTCCCAGGAACTGACAGGCTGCAAACAGCTTTTTTCTGTTTCACTGCCAGAATTCAGCTGAAATATACTTCTGCTTGCCTACTTAACAAGTGTAAAAAAAACAGAACCAAAAACTAAAACAACAAAGTAGGACTAACAAAAAGAGTCAGAAAATAGGTTAACAGAAAAAGCCTAATGAAGCAAGTTTAGGTCCGTAATATAGCTCTGGTCAAGATGACTATACCAGTAGGTGAGAAATGGTCCAAGTGCACTTAGTGAATCGTCCAATGTTTAATGAAAGTCATGGACAAAATGGCTTCAAATGCTCCAGTGATTCAAGCTGTCCTGCAAGCATGTACAATTACCACGTGAATGTACCGGCCTGCATGTATGTAAGGTTTCCTTGTGTTGTGGGGGAGGCGCCGTGCTAAGTCACTACAATTGCTACATGTTGGGACACTTCCTGGAAGCATGACATTGTGGGCACATTCAAAAGGTCACGGTGAGAATGTTTGTCACAGAGTAAGGGCTGTGCACGGAGGTGGGGGAACCACGGATGTGAAAGAGCTTCCTGGTGCACAGAAGGTGAGCTCAAGCGACCTGAGTTAGGGGTTTGCTCTCCGTCTCAGGTGAGAATCTGAGGGACAAGAGCTGTGATGTGGTTGAGATGGAATGTTGAAGACACCCTGAACCCTGCATCCTTCTCCTGAAGAGAACTCAAGAATCTCTTACGCTATTCTCTCTCTCTTTCTCTTTTTTTTTTAAAAACATGTTTTTATTGATTTTACAGAGAGAGAAAGGGAGAGAGAAAAATCAATTGGCTGCCTCCTGCACGCCCCCTACTGGGGACTGAGCTACAAACCCGGGCATGTGCCCTGACCAGGAATCGAACCAGCGACCTTTCAGTGCACAGGATGATGCCCAACCAACTGAGCCACACTGGCCAGGGCTCTTACACCATTCTCAAAGAAGGACTGTACTGTCTAGAGAGGTAAGACTTTTTAATTTAATAGAACAAATTTTTGTTAACAATTTTCAGTCAAGTTGTCCTCAAATATTAGATTTAGCCATTACCTCTTTATTATCTATAAACAGAGATTTCATGCTAGTTTCACTTAGTATTTCCAATGTTTGTCCATGTCAGTGGAATCCATTATAAATTCTCAAGGTATAGAGACTGGGCCTGCTTAATTCTCCATAAAGTACCTAAGATAGCTATGCATAAAAACAAAAGCACCCTGGTTGGTATGGTCAGAAGTTAGAGTGTCAGCCCTCACACCAAAGGATCTCCAGTTCGATTCCACATTAAGGGCACGTAACTGGGTTGCAGGTTCAATCCCTGGCCCTGGTCAGGTCACATGCAGAAGGCAACCAATCAATGTGTCTCTCTCACATCCACGTTTCTCTCTCTCTTTCTTTCTCTTTCCCTCTCTCTCTCTCTCTCCCTGCCCCTCCCTCCCTCCCTTCCACTCCCTCTAAAAAAAATCAATGGGGAAAAAAATAAAAACAAAAGCTGTAATAAATACTTTTTGATGATGCTATTTAAGGCATTTAAGAAATGTTTAACAATATATGTAAACAAAATATTTTTTAGAGTACATACTCATTTACATATACTTCTGCCACTAAGTTCCTTTCCACTTCAGACAAGGAGTCTCGAAGGGAAGCTGGAGTAAAGGTGTTATAGACCCCAGCACAGGAGGAGTGAGGGTGCATGCCACCTCTGCACTCCCAGCAGTCTTCAGGAAACAACCCTGGGTTTGAAAGTCTAAAGAAAGAATGGAAAGTCAGCACTGCTCTCCATGAGGCAGGTCCACATACACACAGCTCTCCTCGATGAGTCAGCATCTGACTTCTACAAAACCAACCCATCCAAACTATTTCATCCACAGTTCTAAAACAGCGCCACAGTGAAACCTATCTTAGCAGCAGAGTAAGGAAATAAATAGCTAAGCAGAAAAGTTAATGCCAGTTCAAAACAAGCTAATAATGTAACATGGTCCCTGGCAGGAAAGAGTTAACACAACAGGCCTGAGATTGCTATCCTTAAAAAGACCTGCTTGCAAGGCTGGCCCTTGCCTGGCATCTGGAAACTTGGATCCCCAGAGGGTTCCCATAATTCCCTGCTAAGACTGGCTTACTGTCTGAACTGTTCAAACAATGTGGTTTATGAGTAACACCTGCTTTCCTTCTGGGAGTGTGGGATTTTCATATGTGCCAGGCAGAGTGCCTCCACGACCAGCTCCAATAAAAATCGTGGGCACCCTGTCCCTATCGGGCTTCCCTAGTAGACAACTTCTCACCTGTGCTGTCACAACTTGTGCTGGAAGAATTAAGCACACCCTGTGTGACTCCTGGAAAAGGGCTCCCGGAGGCCTGTGCCGGTTTCCTCCAGGCCTCACCCTATGTGCGTTTTTCCCCCTTTGCTGACTTGGCTCTGTATCCCCTGACCTGTAATGAACCACAGCTTTGAATACAACTACATGCTAAGTCCTGTCAATCTTCCTAGCGAATCATCAAACTTGGGGGTGGTCTTGGGGACTCTCAACCCAGTTATCTAAAACACAAAGGCAGCTTTAGGCAGTACAACCAGAAATGTAGTGCCTAAACCAAACCCTATTGTTCTGTATTTATATAGACGGTACCTGAAATACCACATTTAGTGTTCAGTGTCACTAAACTACAGTTGAAGGGGCCGGGGATGTTTTACCTAAACAAGAACTTGGGGAGACAGGCTTTTCTCAAATATACAACAGGCCTCGTGCAGTGGGAACAGACTTCGTGTACATGGCTCAAAATTAAACAGCAGAACATGTTTATGTCAATAGAAGAACTTCCTAATAATGAGAGTTGGTGAAAAATATAATTGTGCATCTCAGAAAAATAGGGAGTTTCTTCTCCCTACAGGTTTTAAAACAGAAGCTAGGTGGTCATCTTCAATAACCACAAAGAAAGACACCATACTGGTGGGAGGTTAGGGCGCATGACCTCTCTGAGGCCAGGCCATCTTGAAGGTTTGTGATGAGTCAGTCAATGATCATTTAGAGGGATTCGCTGTCCACACAGCACAAGTCAAGCATCCGTCGGAAATCCAGCTCTCTATTCTTAACACCTTTCCTTTTAGAAGTCCCTATCAGGCCCTAGCCAGTTTAGCTCAGTGGATAGAGCGTCAGCCTGCAGAATGAAGGGTCCCAGGTTTGATTCTGGTCAAGGGCACATGCCTGGGTTGCGGGCCTGATCCCCAGTGGGGGGCGTGCAGGAGGCAGCCGATCAATGATTCTCTCTTATCATTGATCTTTCTCTTGCTCTCTTCCTCTCTGAAATCAATAAAAATGTATTTAAAAGAATAATAATAAAAGTTCCTATCAAGAACTTATCAAGTTAAATTCAGGAAAACTGTTCGGGAGCCTCCTCACTAGAACATCAGCTCCATGATGACAGGCTCTTTTTTTTTTTTTTTTTGTCCTCTAGGCTTTTACTCTCTATGTCCTCAGTGCCTAGAACAGGGTTATGCAAGATAGACCCACAATAAGCAATTGCCTGAATAACATATTTACATTTTGGGGGCAGTATATAACCTTTAGATCTCTGTCAACTTTAAATTGGTCCAAATCAGGGAAATAATTCTTAAGAAATAAAACATGCTACAAATATAAATAAACAGCTATAATTCCACATAAGCAGAACTCAAATAATGTGGTAAAGACTGAGTGGAGGGGGTAAGAGATCAACCGAAGGACTTGTATGCATGCATATAAGCATAACCAATGGACATGAGATACTGGGGGGTAGGGGAGGCCAGGGGATTGTCAAGGGCGGGGGGGAAAAAGGAGACATATGTAATACCCTTTGTAATACTTTAAGCAATAAAAAAAAAAAAAAAGACTGAGTGGAACGGATTTGTGTATTGAGGTAGGTGCTATAAAGGACAGCATCTCTGTCCCAGTCATCAAAGAATATTCTTGGCCCATGTGAGTAGGCTGCATACTCTCTGAACTTAAGCAAGATACAAATGAACAAATGAATCAATCAGAGAGTGTGCAAATACTGAGACATTAAACTATGTAATACACAGTGTGCACAGTTTAGGAAATAAAACACAGCAGAAGCAAGAAAAAAACTCTATTTTTAAAAAGTGACATTTTATCTTGACACAAAGAGAAAAGCACAATTTTGATAAGTGGAAAGAAGGTAAATGAGCTTACAAAAGAACATAAGCAAAATCTCAAAGACAGAAATAAGCAGAGTACTTGTGAAACTCAATGAAAAAATGGCCTAGCCAGAATTGTGTGATTTCAAAACAGTGAGAAATAAGCTGATTGGAGTGTTATTGAATCAGGGCAAGCTAAGAAATCAAACAGAAGAGTATGGATTGTATGCCACAGGAAATAGTAAGCCATTTCTGAGTCCTAAGCAAATGAAACAAAATAGAAGACCTTGGGAAGAATTCAGAAGTAGGCACGGTTCCCTTAAATCCATCCCAGCACTTTGTTCTACTTACCTCTACAGGTTCAATCGATCTGTTAAAAGCACTCGGGGTCCACTGCTTAGAGATGCTGACTTTGACATTGCTAAACGTTTTTCTTGATGCATGGAGCAACGAGTAACTACAAAAGAGAAGAAATACAGCTGAACTAATAGCAAAGAAAACAGCCTTTAATGAAATCACAGACATATTCCTATTTGTTCTTTCAGTTTTAGAAAAAGAGAAATACTGCTTTATAAGGACTATCAACTGAATTAGTCTCTGCAAAGCAAAAGAAATAATTAACTAATCTTCTTCAATATCAGCCCCCATGTTCACTCATAACTGATCCCTGGATCTAGAAGATGAAAATGTGACTGATCCCAACCCACTTTAAATTATGGTTCAGTTCTGGCCCGGCCAGTATGGCTCAGTGGTTGAGCATCAACCTATGATCCAGGAGGTCATGGTTCGATTCCCAGTCAAGGCACATGCCTGGGTTGGGGGCCCCATCCCTAGTAGGAGGCGTACAGGAGGCAGTCGATCAGTGATTCTCTCTCATCATTGATGTTTCTATCTATCTCTCCCTTCCTCTCTGAAATCAATAAAAATATATTTTAAAATAAATAAATAAAAATAATAAATTATGGTTGCAGTTCTGTAAAAAATTTTAAGTCTTTAACAAACACTGCTCATTGCACTAGCCATTCAGTAGCTTTTTGTTTTTTTTATTTTTTATTTGTTAATCCTCACAAGAAGATATTTTTCCATTGCTTTTCAGAGAGAGTGGAAGGGAGGAGAGGCAAGGGAGCGAAACATCAATGTGAGAGAGACACATTGACTGGTTGCCTCCCACACGTCACGACCAGGGGTGGAGAGGGAACCCAAAATCCAGGTACTGTGTCCTTGACCGGGAATCGAACCCACAACCCTTAGGGAGAAGAACTGACGCTCCAACCACTGACCAACACTGGCCAGGGCAGTAGCTTTTTCTTTGGGTCCTGCATTTCCTCATACTACTGCTTCCTCCCACCCCTCACAAATGGATATCCCCTAAACCAAGCATCTAAAACTACCTATCAACTCTTACATAATTAGAGAGCCATTTTCCTAGTTTCTACTTGAAAATAAAACAAACAAAAAAACCATCATCCTCATTTGTGGTACCTTTAATAAAGAAGAAAATCTATTCAGAAAAAATAATCAAAATAGTTGAGTCACAGGGTTATGAATAACATGCCCCTAACACCAAAAGGCCTACTTTGTGTCATCAACAGACCACTAAAGAGGGCCACTGAGGGCCACAGAATTGACTCACAAACGTGGACGATTCTTGAATCACGCTGACTGGGCAGGGACCTCACATGAGTTACCAGAGTTCCTCACAACTCTCTCATACCATTTTTACTACTCAAGGAGGGACCTGAACGTGCACACCCTTTGTTCTCAAGCTCCTCATTTTAACAAATATAGGGCTTTATATTCTCAACCACAGCACCACTGACATTTTAGGCCCCAAAATCCTCTATTTGTGGGGGGTTGTCTTGTGCATTGTAGCATCCCTAGTCTCTACTCACTAAAAGCAAATAGCATGGCAACCAAAAATGTCTCCAGACATTGCCAAATACAGGCAAAAGAGCCCCCAAGAACTACTTTATTAGAGCTATCAAGAAGTACAAGAGGAGTAACTAGTCTATTTCATGTTAAGTCCATACAAGTTCCTGCATGAGAAACTCGCCATGAATAAGTATCTCCCTCAAAAGGAAAAAACAGCAACAGTTGCAGCAATCCCCTTACCTGAAGAAGGTGAGCAGGAACACGACAACATGATGATGGCTGAACCGGGACAGCAGAGTTCCTCTCTGAAAAACACTTGGCCAGGCCATGTTCTCCCTGACCTTCCTTCCAGTCTTTGACCTTAAAATTTGGATAGTGGATGGCTTACACCATTTCTTCTTTCTGGAAAGGCAAAACACATTATTAACATTACTCAGTTTATCCCAACACTGAATTATTTAGGCTTATAGCCAGTCAGCATATAATCAGGCCTTGAAAGAAAAATCATGTGGGCTAGCTGACACCAGAAAAACAGATGGATAATTACGTTTTACAGCAGTTAACTAGTCCTTTAAAAAAAAAGGAATCCTTGACCAAAGGTTACACCCTAATAGGAAGAACTCCCATGCAAACTGATAAGAAAATCACCCACTTTAACAGAAAAAAAATGAGCAAAGGAAATGAATAGACAATTCAGAAGAAATGAAATGGCTATTCAATTTACCAAATAATATCTCACTAAGAATATAAAAAATGCTAATAAAGGCAAGAAAATGTTTGCATAGTTAAAACAGACTGTGGCCTGAGGGACATCTGTAATACTCTCAATGATAAAGATAAATAAATTTTATTTTATTTTATTTTTTTAAATACATTTTGTTGATTTTTTACAGAGAGGAAGGGAGAGAGATAGAGAGTTAGAAACATCGATGAGAGAGAAACATCGATCAGCTGCCTCCTGCACATCTCCTACTGGGGATGTGCCCGCAACCCAGGTACATGCCCTTGACCAGAATCGAACCTGGGACCTTTCAGTCCACAGGCCGACGCTCTATCCACTGAGCCAAACCGGTGGCGATAAATAAATTTTAAAAAACACAACAGATTGTGGCCAATACAGCTCAAAGTCCAATGATTTCTGAACTCTCATATGATGTTGAGAGAAGTGAAAATTAGTACAGTATTACAGGAAGACAATCTGGCCAAGTTCATCAAGAGTCTGGCGTGGCTCAGTGGTTGAGTGTCCACCTATGAACCCGGAGGTCACGGTTCGATTCCCAGTCAGGGCACATGCCTGGTCCCCAGTAGGGGGTGTGTAGGAGGTAGCCAATCAATGATTCTCTCTCATCACTGATGTTCCCCCTCTCCCTTCCTCTATGAAATAAAAATACATATATTTAACATGATGAATTAACTTTTTTTAATAACATGAGAAAATGTTAAATGAAGAAGTATAAATATAATGAACTCCATATTTACATACTATTTTTTAATAATTCTTTATTGTTGAAAGTATTACATATGTCCCCTTCCCCCCCCCATTCATATTTACATACTATTTACAAATAATAGTATATGGGAATATACTAGTATAGGGAATATACTAGTTCTTCTTAAGTAGTGGGATTAGGATTAATTTTAATTTTCTATATACTTCCCTAAAAATTCTACAATAAATGTATATATCACTTTTATAATCAAGAGGGAAACATCCAACAGCACTGAACAAGTCCTATAACTGATCTGCATATTAGGAAAAATTAAATTAACAAAATGACTTGTATGATAAATGCACTATAATAGTCAAGGTAGGATACAAACTCAAAAGCTCCCAATACTTAAATTAGCAAATCATAGGGCATTGCTTTCAAGGCTGTGCTCCCTGTAACTGCTATTATACGCCCATTTTCATTAGTCACAGCTTGGTGATGTATCCAAACTTTAAATGATGCAAGACCCAGGCGAAAGGCCTTTCTTTATTTTTTTTAATCCTCACCTGAGTATCTGTTTTTAATTGATTTTTTAGACAGAGGAAGGGAGAGAGAAAGTTCAATCAGTTGTCTCCCATACGCTCCCGACTGGGGATCAAACCCACAACCTAGGTATGTGCCCTGACTGGGAATTGAACCCGAAACCTTTTGGAGCACAGGCTGACGCTCCAACCAACTGAGCCACCTGGCTAAGAGGCCATTCTTGATAAACATTATAACTGCTTCACTTACTGGCTGTGAGCCCTTGGACAAGTTAATCTCTATAAATTGCAGATGGCCTATCTCTAATAGTTATGAAACTAAAATAAACAATTTATGCAAAGACTTAAGATAATTATTTTAGTCACTGATCTGCCCAGGATTAATCTCACATCAGCAGAATGTAACTAACTTCATTTAACCATTGTCCCTGAAAATTTTTAACAAAATTATGAGTTGAGTAAGACTGTAAAATTCCATTTACAAAATGTAACAAATAAACCTGCTGTCTGTAATTCCAGAAAGTTACCAAACTGAGAGCTATTCGCGTTACTGCTAAATTTATCTCCACTCCCAAAAATTAAACATGCAACCCAAGTGGGACAACTGGAAACTTCAGCCATTCTTTATAAAGAATAGCTCTCTGAACACATTCACACCTCAAAACACTGTGCTGAGTACTTCAGGAAAGGTTATGGGTTATGAAATTCAATAATTTATCAGGGAAAATAATTCCAAAAATTTACACTCCAACAAGTTAGGATTACATCACTTTGGCAATAACGGTTGTGTATTTCAGGGCTGTACAGTTACATTAATAGCTTTAATGACTAACAAGCTGTTTTGGACCATCTGGATTTACTTTCTAAATAAACCACCTTTTCCTTGGCTATAGTGATGGGGGAGAAAAGGCTTAATAAGTATATGGAGAAAGTGGTTTTAAATATTCACCTGCTACTGGCAGAATGACTTTTAAAATGAGAATTACTATAACATCTGGTCCTATCTACTTATATAAAAACCCTGGGTGGTGTTCATCACAACCAGAACCGAGACCAAGCGGGAGGAAGTCAGTCCTGCAGGCGTTGTCTTGGCAACAGCTGCGCCCTCCCCCAAGCTGTTTCCCGGAGCTGTTTCCTGTAAGGGTGGGGTTTGAGGCAGGAACCCGCCCTGGGAGCGTGGAGGCATCTCTTTATAAAGTGTGCCGCGCCAGCACAGCCAAGGGTGAACCTGAGTGGGGGCAACTGAAAGGCTTAGAAAAGACAGACAAGAGAATGAAAGCCGGGTCTCGGTGGGACGCTGCTTCTCTGAGAGACAGCGACCATGCCCAAAGCCATGCCTTTATTTTATAGCAGAAGCTACGAGGCAAAGTAAGGACGTGACCAAGATGTTTACAACATTCTCCTGGGTTGCAATCCTACTCAACTACATGCACCTGAACTCTATCAAGCCTACATCATTCAGGCACGTGGGGCCATGTGTTCGGACCATAGGTTCAAGCTTACAACTACAGCTGTTGGCTATAATTGTACTGGGAGGGCCCTGCCCTATAAACTGGGACTTGCACATGGCAATGAGAGGACTGTGCCCTCTCATCAGCCCAAGGCTTGAACCTGTCCAAAACACTAGCGGCTCCCCACAATAAAGTTTTAATTCTGTTTCTTTGTTACTAATGTTGTGGCCCCACCCCATAACACAAAAAACAATTTCCGGAGGATGAGGCCCAGGAATCAGGATTTTAAAAAGATTCCCAGGTGATTCTAATGTGCAGCCAAGGTTGAGAACCACTGCTATAGATAATATTAAAAATATATCTAAACATGCAATTCTTTGTCCAAAAAATGAGCATGTTCAAAAATTAAGTGAAGAAAATTTGGATATACTCGATAGAGATTTTCACACATATTTGAGTGATGATTCCATTGATTCCACAGATGATGCTGAAAAGGAAAATTTTGCCATCGAATTTCTTAATAGTATTACTCCTTCGGCAATGCCGTGTCATAAATTAAAATTGAAAGTGGGTGCAATCATCATGCTATTGAGAAATGTCAATAGTAAATGGGGTCTTTGTAATGGTACCAGATTTATTATCAAAAGATTACGACCTAACATTATCAAAGCTGAAGTATTAACAGGATCTGCAGAGGGAGAGGCTGTTCTGATTCCAAGAATTAATTTGTCCCCATCTGACACTGGCCTCCCATTTAAATTGATTCAACGACGGTTTCCCATGATGCCAGCATTTGTGATGACTATTGATAAATCACAAGGACAAACTCTAGACAAAGTAGGCATATTCCTACCTGAACCCGTTTTTGCACATGGTCAGTTATATGTTGCTTTCTCTCGAGTTTGAAGAGCATGTGATGTTACAGTTAAAGTTCTAAGTACTTCATCACAAGGGAAATTAGTCAAGCACTCTGAAAGTGTTTTCACTCTTAATGTGGTGTACAGGGAGATATTAGAATAAGTTTAATCACTTCATCAGTCATTGTTTGCATCACTGTTGTTTTTATATCATGTTCTTGTTTTCATATCATGGTTTTGTTGTTTTCATATCATGTTTTTGTCGTTTTTATATCATGCCTCTGTCGTTGTTATATCCTTTTGTTACTGTTTATTTATTAATAAATTTATATATTATTTTCATATACATTTTACTAATTTCCTTTCATCTCTCACACTTCTATTATAGAGAAAGGGCAAATAGCAATATTAAAATATCTCCACTAATTAATTTCCTTTTTTTAAAAAAATATATTTTATTGATTTTTTACAGAGAGGAAGGGAGAGGGATAGAGAGTTAGAAACATCGATGAGAGAGAAACATCGATCAGCTGCCTCCTGCACACTCCCCACTGGGGATGTGCCCGCAACCAAGGTACATGCCCTTGACCAGCATCAAATCCAGGACCCTTGAGTCCGAAGGCCGATGCTCTATCCACTGAGCCAAACTGGTTAGGGCAATTAATTCCCCTTTTTTAAAAAAAAATATATTTTATTGATTTTTTACAGAGAGGAAGGGAGAGAGATAGAGAGTTAGAAACATTGATGAGAGAGAAACATCGATCAGCTGCCTCTTGCACATCTCCTACTGGGAATGTGCCCGCAACCCAGGTACATGCCCCTGACCGGAATCGAACCTGGGACCCTTCAGTCCACAGGCCGACGCTCTATCCACTGAGCCAAACCGGTTTCGGCAATTAACTCCCTTTTAATGAGAATGAATTTCGTGCACCGGGCTACTAGTGTAATTATAATAATACCTTGCACTTCTATACCCTACATCACAGAAGTGATTTCTAATAATCTATGAGCTCTGGGGAAGCACACAGAGTTTTTGCCAAATCTGAATCCATCAAGCACAGCCTACTTTCTGAAAACCATTTTTCTTTCTTGCTCTAAATATAAACAGCCCTGACTGGTTTG